TCTTGGTCCAAGTATAGGTTTCTCATTAGCACGATCGGTGTTCTGGGATTCCCATTCTTCTCAGAGTCAGCCACAGTTTGTTATGATCCACACAGTCAAACGCCTTTGCATAGTCAGTGAAACACAGATAGACTCTGGTACTCTCTGCTTTCTGCCAAGATCCATCTAACAATAGCTATAATATCCCTAGTACTTCGACCTCTTCTAAACCCAGCCTGCACAGCTGGCAATTCTCTGTTGACATGTTGCTCCAGTTGTTTTTGGATTTTCAGTAGAATCTTGCTTACATGTAATATTAATGATATTCTTCAATAATTTCCACACTCTGTCGGGTCACCTTTCTTTGGAATGGGAACAAATGCCAGTCTCTTCCAGTCAGTTGGCCAGGTGGCTGTCCTCCAGATTTCTTGGCACAACTTAGCACATCTAGGGCAGCATCTGTTTGTTTATGTCAATTAGTATGCCATTAACTCCAAGAGCCGTGTTTTTTGTCTGTTCTTTCAGAGCAACTTGAAGTTCCTCCTTCATAACCACAGTTTCTTGATCATATGTTGTTACATGAAATTCTGTATCAGCCAATTCCTTCTGGTACAGTGTCTCTGTATAGTCCTTCCATTTCTTTTTATGCTTCTTGGATCATTTAACATTCTGCCCAAAACATCCTTAACTATTGCCACTTGTGGCTTGACTTTTTCAATTCCTTTAGCTTAAAAATGCTGAGCGAGTTTGGCCCTTTTGATTTTCTGACTCCAGCTCTTGGTACATTTCATTATAATACCTTGCTTTGTCATCCCGAGCTGCCTTTTGAAATTTTCTGTTTGGCTCTTTAATTTCTTGATTTCTTTCTTTAGCTTTGGCTTCTCGGCGTTCTAATGCATTATTCAGAGTCTCATCTGACATCCATCTTGGTCTTTTCTTTCTCTTCAGCCGTTGTAATGGTCTTTTGCATCTTCATGGAGGATATTCTTGTTATCCTCCCACAGCTCATTCAGTCTTCACTCATTGGTGTTCAAGGCCTTAAACCTGTTCCTGAGATGGTTTTGAAATTCAAGTGGGATAAACTTAAGGCCAAATTTTGATTCCTGTGGATTTTATTTTCTTCAGCTTCAGTTTGAACTTGGATATGAGTAGTTGGCAGTCTGTTCCACAGTCAGCACCTGGCCTGGTTTTCACAGCTGATATTGAGCTTCTCCAGCAATTCTTTCCACAGATGTAATAGATTTGATTCCTATCCATACCATCAGGTGAAATCCAGGTATATAACCTGTGTTTGTGTTTATTATAAAAGGTATTTGCAATGAGTAAATCATTGAGTGTGCAGAATTCTAGTACCAAGGGTGTTTAATGTGGATCCAAGTAAGATGAATTAATTTCCAAGGCTGTAAATAGCACTCAAAGAGAGTGCTCATCTTTCTCCCAAAGATTCGAACCATTAGAGAAGCACAGTCTTTGTGTTTGTTAGCTGCATAATTCCTTACAGACTAGTCAATCTTGGCTTTCACTTCCCTTTCACAGGGGCATTAAATCAACTACTTAATGATTGAGAGTTTAGGTTCTTCACCTGTCCCATTTCTCTCCTGGGCATGGACACAGCTTTGCCATATGCATGCATACTTCAAGAACCCCAAGAATTTAACAGAACATTTCTTGGTTTTTTTAGTCATGTTCTTATTTACTCCAACTGAAATAAGGCAGGTAAGGCAGTTGCGATGTGAATAGGGGATCACTATTGGTTTTGGTAATACCCTGAGAATGAGACTTTTTTTGGTAGAGTTGAGCTGTATCAAATCTAATAATGACAATATTCTCAGAATGAAGCTTTTCCAGGTGCTAGTATCTTAATAAAAATATTTTCTGGAATGCTCTAGGGATAGATCTTTTCAGAGAACTCTTAAAGAGAAATGATAGGGTAATGATGGGCAGGGTCCCATAGTGGTAAATTTATAAAACATAATGCATGAGAATGCATGAAACATTGTGAATGAAGAATAGCATGAAACGCAAAATGAACTTTGTAAGCAAATCAATAAAAATAAAGGTAATATTTTAAAATAATTTTAAAAAGACATCAGTTCACTGAATTGGCTGTGATAATAATGGAAGGGACGGTGAATAGAAGTAGCCTCAAGTTAAAATGCCACAGACTCTGCTAATTTTACTGAAGTTTAGTTGGTTTTATTTCTTTTTTTATTTTTTACATACAAAAGTCATGTGCATTGTGTTTGGTTTGTATGTAGGAGTGTTTCATGCACTCCTCTATTCACACTTTGTTTCATGTTATCATCCCATACATTGTTTTATAAAATTAATTACCATTGATCCTGCCCATTATTACCACTCCTTTTCAGGTCCTCACTGGATCTTTCCTGATTCCTTCACCCTTTCACTCTCAAACCCCCCTCCTCCCTCAGCCCCCTCTTCTGTCCCATTTGGACTTATATACACGTCTTATTAGTAATCCTGATACGGTGGAGGGACAGCACAGGAGGGGAAGACCCTCTATGAGGTGGATTGATTCAGTGACTGTGGTAATCAGGATGGGTGTGTCAGAGGCAGTGCGATTGGCACAGGACAGAGCAGGGTTTAGGGCTGAGGGTCGCTATGAGTCGCAAGCAACTCGACAGCACATAACAACAACAACAACAACAGCAGCAACCATTATTTCATCAGTCATTTATAATTCACAACCTATACACATAATGATCACTGAAGCAGTGTCTCACAGAGATTATTTTTTCCCTATAAGGTGAAGTCAATAGATTGACTTCTGGAATGGCAAAATCAGAAATTTTATAAACCTATTTTGGTGGCCTAGGGGTAAGAATCTGCACTGTAATCCCGAAGGCACATGGTTTGAATCTGCCAGCTGCCCCATGGGAGAACAGGCAAGCTCCTCCTACGCGATAACTGCCTCTGAAAACCTGCTGGAGGGTCAGCTATGGGCTAGTACCCAATTCGATGGCACACCACCACCACAACAACAACAATACATTCCTCCATAACAGGAATAAATGTTAAGTGCCATTGAGTCGCCCACCACTCACAGTGACCCTATGAACGACAAACTGGAATCTTGTCCTATCCTGCTTAGCCACACAATTTCTGACAGGTTGGAACACGCTGTCAATCCATTATGTTGAGGATCTTCTTCTCTTTCTCTGACTCTCCTCCTATCTCCACATATTGTCGTTTTCCAAGGACTGGCCCCTCCTGACAATAAGCTCAAAGTAAGTGTGATTAAGCTTCACTGTATTTGCTTCGAAGGAACAAAAACAATAGCAAAATGTTAAAAACAGATCACATCAGAACACTGGAAATGAATAAAAATCAAAGAACAAACTGAGAAATGTTTATTCAATAAAAACAACTATGTAAAACAGTACAACCACTTTGGAAGGCAGTTTAGCATTTCCTCAAAAAGCCAATGACCTAATAATATTCTCCAAGGAAAATAGAACCTAGACACAAACAGAGATTTGTACACCAATGTTCATAGCGTTATTAATAATAGCAAAAATATGGCAACAATTCAAATGTCCAACCACAAGTGAATGAACTGAGAAACTGTGGTATAATCACATGATGGAATATTACACACAGCTCAGGAGATATGACTTTGAAAAACACTATATGACATTGGAGACAGGAGAGCACTGTGCTGAAGGAACTAATAGTCTCATAAGGACAAATACTGCCTAAGACCATTGTTGTTTTGCTGTTATCATGTGCCGTCGAGTCATTTGCGACTCGTAGCGGCCCTATGTACAACAGCCCTAAACCCTGCTCTATCCTGTGCCAATCGCACTGCTTCTGACACACCCATCCCAATTACCCCAGTCACTGAATCAATCCATCTCATAGAGGGTCTTCCCCTCCTGCGCCGTCCCTCCACCCTCCCAAGCATGATGTCCCTCTCCAAGGACCCA